CCCCAAAACCCCAAAACCCCAAAACCCCGCAATGCCAAAAAGTTTTTTAATTTTGTAAAACATTATTAGGAAATTAAATATTGAGTTCGATTTCATAATTCAAACGAGTGGAAGTGACTATGTATAATTGGGGTTTCTTATTATAAAGCATTTATTATTGTTTACTCTTCTCAATGTCTTCCATGATTTCCATGTTTGTTGTTTTCTACTGCATACGAAAATTGAAGTCCAATTATATCGTCCTTATGAAACCTATATCCTTAGAGAGTGTTAATGACCATTGTTGTCTGAAAAGTGCTTTCAAAATCAGCAAAGGCAATGTGGACTTTTTACCCATCCTTCGAAGATCTAGGTATAAGTCTCAATTCTTTGAACCCTATAAAAGGTCTGAAAATATCTAAAGATTATTAATATTTAATCAAGAGAATAAACTTACGAGCAACTTCTCTAACTGATGTGTCGTGAGGAAGACCTTCGATATATACTGTATTCGTGGCATGTTTGGGAATGGGCAAGTTATTTCTAAAGAACCCACTTAATTTTCCAAGTTAATTTATTAGAGAAGGACTAATAACAGAATGGGGTATGGATCCATTTTAAACACTCAATGAACTTAGAAGAGGATTTGTCTAGTGTATCAATGGATTAGATTATAGATTAGAGCATAGATTTTGGAAGCTTTATGCTTAATTACTAATGGGTGAGGGATAAGAAGCTGAACTGTTAGCAGTAGTAGTGGCATTAGTATTATTATTATTTGATAACTATGGTAGATTGATATTTAATAGAGTACTAAGAAGCTAAGGGTTCTGAGTAAGACTAGCTAAGATATCACCTTAGAGTAGTGATGATGCCCCATTAAAATCAGTTGAATCTTTAAGCGAGTTTATAATATTCATAACCATATTCATATCAAGATTTCCATAATTAAGGATTTATGACGAAGGACTGCTATTAGATTAGCCTTGAATTGATTATGAAGGGTTGGAATTTAACGTGGAAGACTATTAATGCTAATTAACAGGAGAAGAGTTTCCCATTGATAATTACTGGTTTACTCCATTACCTGAACTATTTTTTAATATACTCCTTGGAACATTGCTTTATTGCTAGTTTTGAAAGTTTGACGAATTATCTTGCCTCTAATTTAAGCTTTAACTGTAGGCCTATATCCTTTCTGAAGTGTTGCTCTGGTTAAAATTTTCTTTTTAGTTATAGTTATTGTTACTCCCACTAGTGTATTATCTGTTTTAGTATCCATTTTAGTTGTTACTTCTTCCGATATGGCTATTATTTGAGCCATTTCGATTATTTACATCTCTTTTATTATGCTCAGAAAATCTCACGCACAAGCCTTTGCTAGCACCCGTATATCTAAAACCAGAACAAGAGTTTTAAGCTTTCTTGGCTTGATCATTGTCCTAGTAATCAACAAAAGCAATCTTTTGCCTATATTCAATAAATGTAAAATGCATAAATTTTAGGAAAATTTACCCATTTTTATCTTTAGCAAGTCTAACTTCAATAAACCCTTCAAAGTCTTAGAAAAGTGACTCAAGGTCTTCTTTTTCAAGAGTTTAAGGGAAGTCACAAACATACAAGCTAATCATTTTAATGATGATAGATGAAGTGTATATATTGTAAAAATAATAAAATGGAAATTAAAAGTGTGTTTATTAATTTTCTTTCAAACTCAACTAAATATTGGAACCATGGGGTTTTGGGGTTTTGGGGTTTTTGGG